GATTAAAGGCGTGTGCCACCACCACCTGGCCTTTTTTTAAATTTTTTTTTATTTTTTGGTTTTTTCAAGACAGGGTTTCTCTGTGTAGCTTTGCGCCTTTCCTGGAACTTGCTTTGGAGACCAGGCTTGTTTTCTTGTTCTTATATTTTAGTTTTTAAAATTGTCAGGATACCACATACTCACATACAGCCAGGCATGGTGGTACACACACTATGGTACACACACGGTGGTACATACAACAGGGTACACATATACATGATGGTATAGGGCACTTGGGAAGCTGAGGCAGGAGGATCACAAATTTATGGTCATCCAGGGCTACAGTAATGAGGCCTTGACTTGAAACAAACCAAAAAACTCCAAAGAAGGAAAAATACCCATAAAAACTTCCCCGACGTGTGGGCATACATATACATGTGATTTCTAAAATTCAACAGCCCCAAAGGCTGTATAAAGTGGCATTCTCCTGCCTTAGTGCTTTCCCCCCTGACACCCCCTTCAACAGTTTCTGCTCTTCTTTGGTTTAATGCCTTTCCCATTCCTCCATCTTTTTGGATGTCATGACTTCCAGCCTCCAACATTGTGTTCTGACTTCCAGGCTGACTATGTGGCTGTCACAGGCCACCTCCCTTCCTTTTTACTGACTGTCTTGGTGACTATAAATATCTCCATTTCTTGTTGTATCAACTATGGACAGTTCCTTTCTCAGATACTCTCCCCCTCTTATAATCACAGATGTTTTATTTTCTAAGATCAAAAGGCAGGACAAAAAAACCCTGTTTAATCACCAGACGACTGTATTATGGGTGCCGTCATGAAATAGAGTTCCTTTCTGCTGAGAATTACGATGTAGGTGCCCCCGGCTGTCAGACACTTCGGGCAGATGGCCAACTTGTTGTTTTACTTCCCAGCCGAGCATCCTCAGCCTGCAAAATGCTTCTAGCTAGCTGGTTATTTTTCATGGTGCTCCCTCTCCAGGGCCGGCCAGCAAAATCTATGCTCAGCCATATGCCTTCCCACTGTGATTAAACCACTGTCCTAACATCAAATGGTGCTGTTTCGCTTCTCTTCTTATGAAACAGGGCAGCTTTATCTCAGCAGTACCAGGTGCATGCTAATCCATTAGTAAATATCGAGTATATCAATGAGTCAAGCATGTGAGACAGGGAGAGATCAGTTCACAAACACCAGGCCAAGGAGAACAGTGAGGGGGCCGTATGAGGAAGGCAGAGCTCTTCCGAATGGCTCTGGGAGGGAAATCTGTGAGGCCAGTTCAGAGCCACCCGGCCGTGCTACACACCAGCTGTGGATTCTGCTTGTGTACTGCCCACAGGAGGCCTAGAACTTCGCTATCAAGGGTCACATAATATGTATTTCAGGCTTCATGGGTCATGTGTCTTTGCTGCAAAGGACAATCCCACCCCTCTTGGTGTGAAAGCAGTTGGAGATGATTAATACACAGATGGGAAGGACTGGATTTTAATAAAACGTGATTTACAGGGGGCTGGAGAGATGGCCCGCTGGGTAGAGTGTAAGCATGAAGATCTAGGTTTGGATCCTAGAACTTATGTAAAAAAGTTGGGTATGGAAGACATACACCTGGAGCTTGCCTACCAGCCAGCTTAGCCAGGACAAGGAGTTCCAGGTTCAGTGAGAGACCCTGTCTCAGAAAATACGATAGAGAGTCACTACGGTCGACACTGTGATGGTCAAGTCTGTATGTTGCTTGGATGGGTTATAGTGCCTGGGTGTTTGATTGATCACTATTCTGAATGTATCTACGAGGGTAATTTTAGGTAAGATTAATATGGACATGGTGCTGGACATGGCGGTGAAGGCTTGTTATTCTAGCTACTTTGTGGGCTGAGACAGGAGAATTACAAATTCAAGGCATGCCTGGACTACAGGATAAGTTCAAGGTCAGCTTGGGGATTTTAGTGAGACCCTGTCTTAAAATAAAAAGTAAGAAGAGGCTGGGGGTATAGCTTAGTGGCAGAGTACCCGACTAACATGTGCAAGGCCCCAGGTTCAATCTCAGTATCAGTACAGTAATAGTAGTCATGATAACAATGATCTACTCAGTGGTACATATTATTATTATTGTTGTTATTATTATTTTTTTCAAGACAGGGTTTCTCTGTATAGTCTGGCTGATCTAGAACTCACTCTGTAGGCCAGGCTGGCCTCTAACTCAGAGATCTACTTGCCTCTGCCTCTTGAGTACTGGGATTAAAGGCATGTGCCACAACAGCCCAGTCATTATTATATATAATATATTAGTATGTGTAATATATAATGTTATAATATATATTATTTTATATATTGCTTCCTGTAATGTGAACGAGCCCCCTCCAGTCAGCTCTGTGATTGGATAAAACAGACACTAGCTTTCCCTGGAAAAACTGAACCCCGCCAGCAGACATTCTGCAGAGTGAACTACAACTTCAGCTTTTCCCTGCACAAAGGGGTTTCAATTATATCTAAAACCTTGGAGTTTTGCTTAAAATAAGGTGCGTCAAATTTAACATGAAGGGTTGACAAGCTGAGCGTTGGGTGCTCTTTTTATATTGAAATATTTTGTAATTAAGAAAACATGAGGTGACATTAAACAAAGTCTACTAGGAAAAAAAAACAAACCTGGTCCAGTGGTCAACACATTACAGGGCTTACAACAGAGACTCTGTCTGGGAAAGTGTGCTGGGATGGAAGTGGGAGCCACTGGAATGAACAGGTACAGAGGAGGGCGGGCTCCCAGGGTAGCAGTCATGAAGGCGGAATAGGGTTCGCTGTAGACCCAGGGAACAGTGGGTAAGGCCGCTGTAGAGACACAGGCACAGGAGGGCCTGGAGATAAGGACACAGTCCACACTGCTTGCCTCTCCCAGAGTCCTTTCTGTTTGCTGAAAGGAAGCTATTTGGAAATGGCTATTTCTAACTTTCCTCTGATGAGATCTATCTCCTGGGTGTTTGCCTTGTCAGATGGATTTGTGCTCCTCAGAAATATGCTGGGGTCCGAGTTACTGGGCCTCCTTTCTGATTTCAGGTGTGGCTCTCAGAGCAGATCCTTCGTGTGCATACACATACATGTATGTGCCTATATGTGCATGCATATAGGACAATCTTGGGTGTTGTTCCTTAGGAGCTCTCCATCTTATTTGTTGAGAGAGAGGGTCTCTTATTGGGACCTGGAGCTCACCAGTTGGTCCAGGCTGCCTGGCCAGAGATCCTTGTGTCTCGCCAGCTCTGGAATTGCAAGCATGCACTGGGGCTAAGCCAGGGAGATGGCTCTGCAGTTAAAAGTGCTTGCCAGGCAAGCCTGATGACTTGAGTTTGGTACACATAAAAAGCTATATGCATCACCATGTCTGGTTATCATGTGGTTTTTAGTTACTAGTGATCAGAAAAATCATGACATCACTTGGATTTCCACTCAGCATTAGGGACAGTGTCTGTCTTCCACTGCTTGGGTTAAAAAGGATCCAGGGAGAGGTGCTTGTGTTTTGACCATACCTCTTGAATCCCTCCTGGTCCGTGACAGCTGACAACTGTCACATGCCCAGCACTGTGCTGACACGTCACAGTGTGGCTGGACCAGTGTGTGGATGTGTTGATTCATCATTCTTCCTGGACTCCAGGGCCCAGGGTCTAAGACTCCGGCTCTTTAATATTGAAATTCTCATAGTGCCTGGTACATGGCAGGCTGCATTCAAAGCCTCAGAAATGAACGGAATAAAAGGGAAACTGTGACAGCCCCATAGCAACTACGGCGATAAATGCTGCACTGTCAGGCTGCTGCGAGGAAGGAGGCAGGGCGGTGCATGCCACCATCGTGAAAGATTCTGTACTTACGGGTGACACTAATTACACACACAGGCTGAGAAGTGGTAGTCTAGGCTGACGCTGACAAAGCCCTCCTCCCTCCTGCTGTGTCCCTTTAAGCTTTGGAAGGACCACCGCCATGATAACAGCCTATCCGCAGCTGCAGTTATCTCCTTCCTCCTCAGAGGGGGAGGCGAAGGTGGGACGGACTAAGAACCTGGGAAAGTATGTGAAGACCAGGATTCAGAACTTGGAATTCCGCCTCCAAATTCAAGCTCTGGCCTAAACCCCCAAAGCAACACAAAATAAAACTCGGAGAGGAGGGGGATTTCTTCTGTCCCAAACAGCAACAGCAGCGGACAGGGACGGATGTCCTGACCATACCATGTCTCAGCACAGATGGAGATTTTAAGGTTGATTTTGAATTCGTAAAAAATCACGGCCTGTAGTGGAAATGCTGACATGATCAGATTGGCTACAGTGTGGCGTGGATTGTGCGGCCGGCCTCCCAAATCAAGATGGCTCTAATAGAGAGGCGATTCTAGGAGTCCAGGACTTGACACACAAGGACGTTTTTGCAAGGGGGTGGAGATGCTCAGTTTGCTAGAGCAGCCAGAAGGTGGCACCACTTGCTAAGAGGCAACAGCCCAGGATTTCCCCCCAACCCCCACCCCATCTCATGGAGGGTCTCCTTCAGTTCTGGGTTTGGCTCAGAGGCCACTCTGGGATTGCTGGCCACAAAGAGACGCCAGGGGCCCATCCCTATGTGCCACTGTGCAGATATTATCTGTACTCCTTCCCCGTATGGGGTCTGCTGGGCAGACAGGCTAGACGGGCTATGCAATGTTCACAGTTATTATTACCTAACGTTCACAAATGATGGCCCCAATTACCCACTAAGTTAATCTGAATGCCTACTATGTCCAGGCATCACAATAAAGTTTAGAAATAAATTATTTAAGTCCCACAACAATTGTGTGGTATGAATACTATCTTCCTTTTACAGATCACCACATTGCATTCAGAGAGGATAAGGTTATGAGGTTTGTCTTAGGTCCCAAAGTCAGTCAATGGCAAAGCCAGGATATGAACTCAGTTCTTTGGAGATCTGTAGTATGCACCATAAGCTGCTACCATGTATTGACTCCTCTTCCTTCCTGCCTAACTTCCGCTTTGTCTTACCTTGCCTTCCTGTCTTCCTTGGGTCCTTTCCTGTTTCCTGGCATCATGCCATTGTTGTCCAATTCAAGGCAGACCATACCACACTTCTGACATTGGGAATTCTCCGTGTATCGAGCGGGTTGAGAAGGATTGCCAGGGTTGGGATGGTCACGTGTATAGGAGGATGCAGACAGCTCATGAATATTTATTGCCATCTACATGCAGGCACGGTGCTAGGGCTGGCCAACCCAGGAATCCCAGCTGTGTATTTGTTTAATTTTATCTGTGTTTTTTTTTTTTTTTTTAAAAAGATTTATTTATTTATTATGTATACAGAAGAGGGTTGCCAGATCTCATTACAGATGGCTGTGAGCCACCATGTGGGTGCTGGGAATTGAACTCAGGACCTCTGGACCTCTCGAAGAGTAGTCGGTGCTCTTAACCTCTGAGCCATCTCTCCAGCCCCTTATCTGTGTTTTTATGAACTCAGATCATGGGTGGACTTTGCTCACTCTCATTTAATCCTGCAACATCTGAGATACATCATGGCAGGTATGTGAGGTTAATAAAACAGATGTTTCATCCCTTCTAGGGGGCATAGGTCACTATCAGAATCTTAGGAATAAAAGGACCTCATAACCCAACATTCCCAGCCTGGCTAGCCACAAAGGCAAATTTCAAAGAATTGATGTTGGTGGGGGCAGAGGGAACCTCTTCTTAGTTTTTGCTGGCAGCACAGGAGGCAGAATGGTCTATCATGTGGGGCTTGGGAGGTCAGAGAATTCTGCCCTCTGATTTTACAGATGAGCCTCTGAGTAAGAGGGATTTGTCTTATGGGCTCAGAGCCAGGTAGCAACCAGAAGGAGAGTTAAGCGGAATTTGTGCCCTTCAGGGCCATGGAGAGGACCCTGTCATGTGACTTCCAGGGTCACGAACTGGAATCTGGCTTACTTCCTGAGAACCAGGGGAGCTGGTCCCTCCATTTAACAGTTGAGAAAAAGGTTCGGAGAGGTGGTGTCACTCGGCCCAGTCACACAGTAATTGTATTCCCTGCCCAATGAGCAGCTTTCTCCTGCACCACAGTTTACCCTAGTGAATTCCAAGCCCCACATGGTTTGATCGAAGGCAGAAGATGATTTCAAATGGGAAAAGAAATCGGTTAGATACAAAAATATTGGTAGTTGTGGACTTTTGAAGTGGCATTTGGAGACCTAGAACAGAATTTGAGAAATCAGGAATATATGGTATAAAACAAAACCAAACAAAAATAAACCAACCAATGGCTACAGTTATGGTTTGCACTGTAGACTGCCCTGAAGATTCAGGGAAGTCTGAACCCTAGGATTCTCTTTGAGATATGGTCTTTGCAGATATAATCAAGTTATGATGAGGTTATTGGGACAGGACTTGATCTGATTTGAGTGATTTGTGATGTCCTTCATATAGACATCCAGGGAGTGACGGCAGGGACTCAGTGATGGTGATATAGCCGCAAGCCAAGAGCTGTCAGCCCGCCCCAGGAGCTAGGAGAGTATTTCCTTCAGAGCCCAAGTCCCACTGAGGTGGCTCACCAAGCAGCTGAGAGGCAGAGCAGGGCTAAAGGGATGACATGCCAGCCTGGGCCTCCAGAGTACCAGGAGATGTATAGGAGGTTAGAGGCCCCGGGATGTTAGCTCTGTTGACTTGGTCCTTTTGTGCGGTGGACAGGGAAGCTAAGGAAGCCTGGTGTGGTGGATGTGAAGAAGTCAGACCACAGCTCTGCAGCCCGGGGCCAACATGGATTTCTCACTTGCGTGTGAATGCTCACAGCCTGGGCTATCATCAGATGTGGTCATTCTGGGATAGTGGTGGAGAGAGGCAGAGACCAGGGTGTGGTGGTATTGTATTCCCCAAAATATTGTGTACCCTAATGAATTTATCTGGGGTCAGAGAACAGACAGCCACTAGATACAGAGGCTAGAAAATGGTGGCACTCACGCCTTTAATCCTAGCATTCCAGAGACAGAAATCCCTCTGGATCTCTGTGAGTTCAAGGCCACATTGGAAACAGCCAAGCAAGGTGACTCACACCTTTAATACCAGAAAGCGAGCCTTTAATCCCAGGGAGTGGTGGTAGAAGGCAGAAAGATATATAAGGCGTGAGGACCAGAAACTAGAAGCATTTGGCCTGGTTAAGCATTTGGCTGGTTAAGCATTCAGGCTTCTAGCAGCACAGTTCAGCTGAAAACCATTTGGATATGAGGACACAGAGGCTTCCAGTCTGAGGAAACAAGACCAACTGAGAAGTTGGCCAGGTGAGGTTAGCTGTGGCTTGTTCTGGTTCTCTGATCTTCCAGTTTCACCCCAATACTTGGCTCTGGGTTTGTTCTATTAATAAGACTCTCTAAGATTCCTGCTACACCAGGGTCTGTGGTGATTATATCAGGACAGAGGCGAGGATACTCTTGGACACAGATCTCAATAGGGTTGAGCAGCTGCTGTTCCTGCTGCCCTCTGGCTGCCTCGGCCTCTCTCCTCCTGGGTAAATATTAGTGTGGTTCCCAGCCATCGGGCAGCCCCGCCATGCCAGCATAAAATGTACAGCAAGCCCTTACTTCCTCCCACCCCCCGCATAAGCCCTCCCAGGTCCCTCCTTCAAACACACTGGGTCTTTCCAGTATGTTCCTTTGCGAGAACATGCTCATGTGGCAGTATGCTCATGGTCTTGTCTTCCGTGAGAATATTCTCTGTCATCTTTGGTCACTTTCAACAGGCTCATGTCTCACTCGTAGCCTGAGAACCTTTGGGGGCCACCATCTAGGCTCCAACACTCAGTGTGACCTCTCACTACTTTCAAAGAACCCTTAGCTCTCCAGATTGGCCTGAAACTCAGGGTTAGGGGGGAAGCAGTCACCCTTGGAGGCACCAGAGCCCACCCAGCAATCTTTGGAAACCCCCACAGCCGTTTCATCTTAGGCAGAAGTCTCTCCCTCCCATACAGGCTGCTGCCCACCTGCCATGGAACAGTGGCTTGGGGCAGTTGGAACCACGCACCCCAGGGACCCTCTGAACTCCAATGAGATGAAGGTGTCCTGCCTTGAGGGCTGACGGCTTGGCACATTATTTTTTTCTGAGCCTGAACATCATTGAAAAAGGAAAAAAAAAAAAAAAAAAAAAAAAAAAAAGGAATCCCAAGGGAGGCCTTGCCATTCCCGGCAGGCAAAGCTATTAAACTTTCAAGTCAGTCTGGAGCTGACTGAAGAGCTGGAAGGTGCCCCAGCCTGCGTCCTAGTTACGGCCCTTAGTTCTAGTCCTGGCTGTGCCTGCGGGAAGATCAATCTACCCTTTGTGACATGGTCTTCTAGATTAAAAGAGGCGGAGAAGGAGAGCAGCAGCGTAGGCCCGTCCCAGAGGTTGAGCACCCCACAGAAGAGGGCCTTTGTGGGTGCTGCTCCATTTGAACAGGCAGAGGGTTTTCAAAGTAGATGGTGGGGTTCTACATAGGTCCCTCTGGATTTATAAAAGAAGGCACCAGAGTGCTCTTAGTAATGTCTTGTCGGGGTTGGAGGCAAACAACACTGAATTGGTCTTGCCTAGAATACAAACTCAATGAGGACTGAGTCTCTTTATAAACTAAAGAGCCTCAGTTTCTTTATAAATTAGGGGTCATGGTGTTGTACACCTCAGCTTTCAGGAGACTGAGGTGGGAGGAACATGAGTTTGAGACTCCGATTTCAAGAAACCAAATATCACGATAAACTGAAAAAAAAATATACAGTTGGAGGTTATGGTCTGCATTGTGTCCCCTCGATCGTATGTTGAAGTTCTAATTGCCCAGTACCGCAGAATGGGACCATGTTTGGAGACAGGATTTTTAAAGAGAAGATAAGGTTCAAATGAAGCCATGAAGGCCTGGGGGCCTTGCAAGAAGAAACGTGGACACAGATGTGCAGTCACGTGAGGGGTCAGGAAGCAGATGACTCCTGTCAGGAGAAACATCCTGGCTGACACTTTGGTCTCAGACTTCCAGCCTCCAGGACAGTAAGAAAATGATTGCTTGGTGGAGCGGCCATGGAGGCTGAGGCCTTCATTCTGGCAGGCAGCACTGGATGATCCTATCTCTACAGGGCACTCCATCCACCATTGAGGATCCAAGGAGATACCAATGGGAGGTCCTGTGAATCAAGGTTCTACTCAAGCTGTCAGCCTCATGAGTCTTACAGACACTTGGCTTTGCCAGAAAACACTGTGGGGGACCCCCTGGGTCCCCAGAGCACCTATGTCCTCTCCACACTCATCACTGACTGGATAGGAAACTGTAGTTGGGAATTCTGGGTTCCCCTGGATGTGGTTCCTGTCCTGCTCTGGCCTGTGTGTGAGGGCTCTGTACTGGAGACCCAGAGCTGGATGCTTCTTTAGCAACTGCAGCTGTGAGAAACACCAATCAGATTTACTCCCCAGGCAGGGCTCCTTAGTCTCCTCTGGGAACCCTCACAGTGAATTCCTGAGAGGCCCCAGATCCTTCCTCTCCTTGTCTGATTCATTCCTCACAGGAATGACTACACAGGAAAGACGAGACTGTTGTACAGGACTATCCCTCAGAGCCAAGCCACCACCACTGTGGCGAGTTCAGCTGTGCTGCTGCCTGCAAAAAAATCACCCCAGCTGGGCTTGCTGACTGTTAACAAGGAAGGGCGGGAGGGTCATAGGACCCTCACCTGGGCATCCAGCTGTTCCCTACCACCGGCTGTTCGCACTGTTACCCTAATTGCACATGGTTTCAGCCAGAGTTTATAGGGAAGACTAAGGGTGGACGCTCCATCTAGGCGGCCCTGGGTGAGTCATCATCTCTTCCGGGTGAAGCATCCACATTCCAGTAAGTAACCTCCCATCTGAGCTCTGTCAGGAAGTCTGATAAACTCAGTAGTTCCCCCACAGTTAACTTTTGTGGTGTCGTTTTGACCACAGGAGCCGGGATAGACATTGCTTATGTCTCCCCGACGGGGAAGGAATTTCAGCAAGAGAGTTTCATCTCATTATGCAGAAAAATAGCCAAGGTTCGAGTAAGAGATATGGTTGATGCTCTGGTTTTCATGACAAATGGGCAATGAAATATGTCACCTGCT